GCACACTGATTGCCACGGTGCTGAAAATGAAAGCGTGACAGACCGCTGTGCCTGAATGAATTTAGCAGAAATAAATTGTTGAAACCACACAGTAAGATGTTGTCATTAGGGGCAACAGCCATCTGCAGCAAGTCAAAACACCAGTGTCTAGCAATCATTAAGAACTGCTTAAGTGCACTGCATGAACATGCAGCATGAAAGTGCTTAATTGCTGGTATAAAGCATAAATGTGTTATTTTGAATTGGCCCTAGGAAAAAAAATACCACAATGCCACTAAATATCAAATCAAGATGGCAAAAAGTGCTCCAAAAATTTAATTATGTTCTTAAAAATTACAGCCAGATTAATTTTGTTTGTCCAGTTTTTTGATAACCTCCTACTTCATGTAATTATAATTTATTTAATTATTTATTATTTTTTTAGCTTTTTTTATCTGTTGTCATAGGGACATTAAAAAAACTATATAAAAGATAAAGTGTCTAGTATCATGTAAGACCGTGAAGTTTGTAAGACGACATGTTTCGGCGGATTATTTTCTGGAAGATACTTACAATTCCTCCTGAGTGTCAGGTGATCGAAGGCAGCAGAGCTCAATGAAATGCAGCTCTGATATGAAAATACTGCACAGTGAAATCAGGATCAAACAAAAGGTCTTTGGTGTTTACTGTGATGGATGATGTTTTCTGAGGAAGTAGTTTGTCTCACTGGAGGAGAACCGAAGCTGAATAAACCTGATCTCTGCAGAGAACCTGCACTTTTGGGTGCCAAATGTACCATGGTACTTTTTTAACTTATTGGCTTATCCTTTTGTAGTGTCGAATTCACTTACCTAAGCTTTGGCTGAGAGTACAAAGCAGTAATCATTAATTAAATTACTTACCCCGACTCCCACGATGTCTCTGACTCTGCCTTTTTAGATGGAGCCTACATACTATGACTCTTACATTACACCAGTTTACATCATTATTAAACAGCATTTTAAAGAAAATTTCAGGTCAGATTTGTCTCTTTTACCAAACTGGTTATATATTAGCATGCTGGTTATCTCAGTAAATATTTACACCCACTATCTGCCTAAACAAACGAACAATTTTGTGGCCGCTTGATATGTGTATAGTTGTGGATGTATAATTTCCTATTTGGGAAATATACATAATAAATATGTATTTTGAATTAGTGAGTTATTTCCTCATAGTTGGTGATGGAGCTGTTGTAGTCTCCAACTCTCCTGGTGGTTCGTAGTTACACATTAATAGAGTCAGGTTATATTTGGCCTTGAGTCAAGTTTACCTTCATTCCTGAACTCTTGACTGTTCTCAGGTAAATTATCTTTACCCCCCACTAAAACAAACCCGTGTGACCTTGTGTTGCTGTAAGATACAGTACTTTGGATAAATATCTCCACCACATGGCAGAGGTCATGTTCACCACGCAGGGCAGACACTGAAGGTGGCCAGTTTTTCCCAACAATGTGACTCAGGTGTGGTTTTGAACCAAGAACTAAAAAGCTTGCATAGATTCTAATTGTTTTTTATTTGCTCTGGTGTATTAAATCATCAGTTTCTGTTTGTTTTTTTAACACCACCCATTCAACCGTGCTCTTAACTCCTGTGTCCATTTGTTTGATACAACAGAGAGGATGGCTGGACCACATTAATATATGGTTTGAAGTCATCTAACAGAGGAATCAAACAGGACCATCTGTGTTATGTCATATGAAACACCTGATGTGTACTACCACACGCTGTCTGTGCGGAAACAAGCCACCTTGTGGTTGTCATCAAATGTTTGGCATTTTTGTTTAAAAAATGTCTGAAACAGTGCATCAACTAATAAAATTTTGATCACCTAATCACTCAACAAATCCAGTGGTTCTTAAACTTTTTCTGTCATACCTCCCTTCAGAAGGCCAAAAAAAATTCCTGCCCCCCACCCCACCCCAGCAAATGTGGAAGTTATTATTCTATTTTTTTTATCAATCATCACCAGGCAACAGGTGATTTTAAATACACAAGATTCAGTTTAGCAAAATATTCTTGCTAGCATCAGAGCACTTCTGTTTGTTCCAAATGAATCATATTTATGCAAAGTTAGGTCCGCTCAACATTCGCTACCCCCCTGAAGTGTCTCTACGCCCCCACAGTGGTGCCCGTCCCACAGTTTGAGAACTACTAGACCATTTGTCGCAGCTCCTAATTGCACTACTAATGAAATAACACGAGATACTTGACAATTATCCTGAGTCTGTGGTATATTTGAAAATATGTAAAAACTGAACTGTTCTGCACTGTTAAGTTTTGTTGATGAGATTGTGTTTCTTGTTGGCTGATTGCTTTAATGTTATGACATTCTGTACATATCTGTAGTTTATTACTGCCATACATTCAAGAATGGCTTTCAGTTCATGTTTACTCGTTATGAAAATACTGAGAATTATATTTAAGTTAAAATAAAAGTTACCTCTTTTAAAATAAATGTTATGACAACAAATCTATAGGGCAGGGGTATTCAATTAGATTTCAAAGAGGTCTAGTTAGAGAAAATTTCCTGAAGCAAAGGTCCGGAACATCAAAACGACGAACTTGCGTTATCATTCAGTACTATAACCTATAGTTGTATCAACACATGTTTTTAGTCAACAACGGACTGTCAAATCAAATAATATTTCAGTCAGTTTTCACATCAAACTGGAGGGATAATAAATAATAACTATTCAAATAATAAATTCTAAATTTAAGTAAACTAAAGTGCCTAATTTTTAGAAAAAATGTAATAAAGTGTAGCTTGAAGTGATGAAGTGTAGTCTTAACCAATTTTATAATAAACACTCAACACATCATAACAAATGAACAGCTGTAATGCCTCCTCTTCTCTTTCATTTCCTCTTACAGAGCTACCACTTTCCTACTTTCTGTTGTTCAGTGAGAAACGTGAGCTCCAGCTAGCATATTGGAGATCTATGAGATATTCTGGTTTTGAACTGCCCGTGGGAGGAATGTACATGTAAAAATCTGTACATTCTTGATTAAAAGTCATGTGAAATCTCTTTTATCTTTCGTCTCCTCAATTCGGGTGTGTTTCCAAAACGTCTCTGGTGAATCTCGCGGACTCGACTCGCAAGCATCGGTATGCACAGATTTGATTGGCTGAGCAGCGTCACATGAGACGATTGGAGCACATGCGATTGGTCTGTGAGTTTCCTGGTCCTCTAAACCAGTACAGTAAATGCTAGAAAAGCTGCGCGGGTTAAAATAGAAACGCTCCGTCACGAGGTAGTAAGTCTCAATAATAAATGGGCTGTAGGTCGGCGGTCCGGAGAGGACGGCGGCTGGGTCCGGATCCGGACCGCGGTCCGCCTATTAGTGACCTCTGCTATAGGGAAACAATCCCAGAGTTCTACTTGAGTCTGCAAGTCAGTTGATTGATTGGACTTTGTCCGTATTTGGAGTATTTTTATGTGATCTAAAAGTATATAAATTTAGGATTCTCTTTTAACCAGTGAAATGACAGCTGTTAGCGATATAACCTGAAAGCAAGTTGTGATGGATGGAAAGGATAATTAATAAACAGTTAATCATCAGTTTCTTACCCATTTTCCTCTCTAAATGAAGAAAGGTACACTTACAAAGCTTGTTCTTTTTCTTTTCAAATTTCTCAGTGCATTTCCTGCTATATGTTGGTGACATAAACCTACGACACACTTTACACACACTCTGCACCCCACCCTACAGTGAGTCCAGCTCATATCACTGATCATGTGTAGAGAGCTTGAAATGTACTCTGGGGCCTTGACTGATTGGTGCATTGTTGTGATAGATTGAGCTGTAGCTAAAGGCTAGTTGGCATTTGTAAAGCTGACTACAGGCTCACTCTGCATTTCTGAAAACTGGCCTCAGGCTGCTCTGTCTGAGTAAACCGTTGCATCCTTCATTAACTTTAACTGTACTTTAAGGAATCCCTGTTAGCTTAATGACATGATGACGGTCAGTCCCTTAGCTGATAAAGAGTTCGGGAATTAAATCAACGAATCAAGGTTTTTTTTTTTTGGGGGGGGGGGGGGTGTTGTCGTCATCATCATCATCATCCATCTTGGGTTAATTAATTAAACTAATCTAACTTGCAGGCATGGGCACTCAATCATGAGTGGACCAAAACAGTCAGTTTATAAAATGTGGGTCTTCAGCTGCCCAAACTAAATACAGTGTTCCTACACATACTTTATTTTGGTCACAGAGAGAGATGTTATCTGGTATTATGTTACAAGACGCGGACATGATGGACATTTTACATTACGGTGCAACATTGAATGCACCAGTGCGGATGTTACTCAAAATGCTGTGAGTAACAGAATTGCGGGTGACTTTATTAAATGCGGTGACTTTATGAAACCTACTGCTGATGGAGAAAGTGAGCAGAGATGCATTAAGACAGAGAGAGAGGGAAAGAATAAGGCGGAGCAAGCTGCTGGGTTCGCAATGGTGGACCAGGGGTGTAGATGTGTGTGAGTGTGGGGAGAAGAGAAGTGTGTAAACAGTAAACACTAAAATAAATTGTTCAATGAAGTAGAATTGAAATGATGAAATAATTAAAATAACCTACTAAAAATACAAATACGTTATACACCGCAACCCCGTCCCTGCTCAGCCACCGCCGCCACAGTTACATTATCTTAAACAGTCTGGGGCGTGGGTGTGTCGCGGTTTCGTTCTTGGTTTCAGAACCGTTACAGCCCTAGAAAATAATAATTATAAACCAAAGATATCTTAACAGATGCTGAAGGTCCTCAAAGTAACATGGACCCGAGGAAGTACAGATTTGATTTCTCACATGTGTCTTTTCTTTCTTCCACATGCTGAGATGAGGTTTTAATTCAACGATGAGGCATCAAAAAAAGACCTTCAAGAACCATTATTTTTCCTTCTGTCACTGTGGTTACTCCATGTGTCGTCGTTTTGCTGCTGTTTCCATGGTGACAAACTGTTTTCTCTTCCTCTTTCAGTGTCATCCAGACTCCGTTACCACTACCTGTAGACAAGGTAAGAACAGAAACATGTTGGTGTCCTGTCCCGTGTGCAAGTTATGTCTCCGTCTCAGTGATGCTCCTCAGTGACAGAGGTGTGTGTGTGTGTGTGTGTGTGTGTGTGTGTGTGTTAGCTTTAACACACAGAGTGGAGCAGTCAGCTGATAGAGGAAATCAGGGATAGCTGTCACTTTCTGTTGCTGCACTACACAAGTCTTTAAAGTGGATCAGGGGGCATTTTTTCCCCCACTGTTCACTCTGAATTCTTTGTGTCTTTAAATAGTTTTGAAAACACTTAAAGTCCAAATGAAATTGCTTATGTTTTTGTGGGTCTGCTGCAGCATACAGAACCTCTCTGTACCTCCTATTCATATTTTTCTCGTGACATCACATTCCAAGGAAAACCCTCCCGTGGATGGCAAAAAGACGTTATTTTCCACTTCCTGCCAACCAGTAAGCAAGCGATAATCTGTTACTTTCAGTTGCTGGAAATGCTAGATGGTTGTTGTGCATTCGGATGCACTAATCGAGGAGGAGAGAAACCTGGGCTGTGTTAGGTGAGGGATTCCCCATAAGGTAAACATACAGTGGATAGAAAAAGTCTACACACCCCTGTTAAAATGGCAGGTTCTTGTGATGTAAAATAATGAGACAAAGATAAATCATGTCAGAACGTTTTCCACCTTTATTGTGACCTATAATGTGAACAGTTCAATGGAAAAATGAAAAATAAAAACCCTCAAATAACCTGGTTGCATAAGTGTGCACATAAACATAAATTATAACTGGGGATGTGGCTGTGTTCAGAATTAACCAATCCCATTCAAACTGGTCAAACAGGTTAACTAGAAGTCATTACATACCAGCCATCAAGTGACTCTGATTAATCACAAATAAAGTTCAGCTGTTCTTGTAGGATTTTCCTGATATTTTCTTAGTTGCATCTCCGAGCAAAAGCCATGGTCCACAGAGAGCTTTCAAAGCATCAGAGAGTGAAGACAGTCATCATCAAGTGGAGAAAATATGGCACAACCGTGACTTTACCAAGAACTGGACGTCCCTCCCCAAAATTTATGAAAAGATGAAAAGAAAACTGGTCAGGGAGGCTTCCAGCAGACCTACAGCAACATTAAAGGAACTGCAGGAATTTCTGTCAAGTACTGGCTGTGTGGTACATGTGACAACTATCTCCCATATTCTTCATATGAATGGGGGATGGGGTAGGGTGGCAAGACGTGGCATGGTGGTGGCAGCATCATGCTTTGGGGCTGTTTTTTCTTAAGCGGGAACCGGGGCCTTAGTCAGGGTGGAGGGAATTATGAAAAGTTCCAAATACCAGGCAATTTTGGCACAAAACCTTCAGGCGTCGGTTAGAAAGCTGAAGATGAAGTTCACCTTTCAGCACGACAACATCCAAAGCACACATCCAAATCCACAAAAGCATGGCTTCACCAGAAGAAGATTAATGTTTTGGAATGGCCCAGCCAGAGCCCAGACCTGAATCCAATTGAATATCTGTGGGGTGATCTGAAGAGGGCTGTGCACAGGCGATGTCCTCGCAATCTGACAGATTTGGAGCGCTTTTGCAAAGAACAGTGGGCAAATATTGCCACGTCAAGATGTGCCATGCTAATAGACTCCTACCCAAAAAGACGCTGCTGTAATAAAATCAAGAGGTGCTTCAGCAAAGTATTAGTCTAAGGGTGTGCACACTTATGCAACCAGGTTATTTGAGGGTTTTTATTTTTCATTTTTCCCCCTCAAAGATTTCAATTTGTTTTACAATTGAATTGTTCACACTATAGGTCACATTAAAGGTGGAAAAAGTTCTCACATGATTTATCTTTGTCTCATTATGTTACATCATAAGAACCTGGCATTTTAACAGGGGTGTGTAGACTTTTTCTATCCACTGTACCTGGCAGGTTTTTAACGGTAGAAATGCGGCAGCGGATGCTGTAAAGTTATATGGATCAGCTATGCCCAACACTTGCAGTTTGTTTTTATATCTTTCTTTTTCTTAAGTTCAAAGGTGATCCAAATAAAATTTGACTGCTTTTGCGGCATCTCTACGGGGAGTCATGGTGAGAGCCGCTATGTTGGTGTCTTGTTTTGCCTTCCAGGTCCCCGCCATGGTCCCCGCATGTCACGTGACTGAAAAGTATGAATTGCAGTGTTTTCCTAGGATTTTTTTCCAGAGGGATGGCAGAACCCCCAAAACTATTACTGTCGCAGAGCGGCCGTGTTAAGGGATACGTGGTGTCTTCAAAGACTAGGTACACTCATTTTTGCCGGTTTAGGATCGTCACCTAGTTCTAGACTCTTGGACATTTTTACCTCTTAAGTGTCTACCTCCTGATTGCGCTTGCTACATACATTTACATATTGGGCAACGAGACCTGAAGTGCAAATTGTGGCGAATTGCTGTTGTGGTTTGCATGGCCCTATTAAATCAGTTTTCATTTTTGCCCAATTCTTTTTTTCACAAATTCCGTGTTTAAGCATATTTGGTCATCAGAAGGAGTGTGTAGTCATGTGGTGAATGAATACAGTTTCAACGATTTACTAAGAAAATATTGCAAATTGAATCAATATCGATGAATTTGTTGAAGCTCTTTCTAGTATGCGAACTCCTCGATATGATAGCGTGTGTGTTTTTTCATTGTTTCGGGAGGGGACGTTACGTCCCACAACAACAATGGAAGGGGAAACGCTGAATTGTAATGTTTTCTTCTTGGAGGGGAAAACAACTAGGGCTGCAGCTAACGATGATTTTAGTACTCGAAGCTTCTATAGATTATTTCATCGATGCGTCGGTTAACAAGTACTTTTGCTTGGTGACAGCAGCGAACCCTAACCCCAACTTCCACATCCAGCCAATGAGAGCAGGCAGCTGGCAGAGCAGGCAGCTACTTTTTCACCGCAAAACACTCTGCTCACCTCCAGCTCTCTCTGTAGCTCAGACAATCCCTGCTACCTCCATCCATCGTCAACCGCTTATCCTGCGTACAGGGTCACGGGGGGCTGGAGGCACGGGCTGTTGCGAGGCAACATAAATGCCGTTTTACGGTGGACGGACTGTGACATTACAGAGTTGTTCTTTTAGCTTGAAATAATCCCTTTGGACGCTTTCTTCTTCGCCCCTCGGTATTTTCTCTCTCTTCCTCCACTTTGCAAACAGTGGCATCATAATCACGTCGTGTTCACACAGTATCCGTGTGAAACAGTGTGCTATATAGTTATATGGATTAAACGAAGCCTCAATGCACAGAAATTGCGTCGATGCATTTTAGGAATCGATTTCATCAATTTTAATCGATGAATCGTTTCAGCCCTAAAAAAAGATCTTATATTTTTTAGTTTCAAGGATTTTATGGATTTAACAGAATACTGTTCTGGTATCCGCCTACGTAGATGTAGACCTTATTTTCAATAGAGCCAATCAAATCTTGCATAAAGCAGTAAAATCAGCATTTTGTCAGAGGCAGAGCAGTCAGTCACACAAGAGCCACATACTTTGAACAACAACCCACATTTGCTTTCCTGCTAACGTCTCCTTCTTATCTAACTTCCACAAACATGAACACATGTCTTGTCCTGCACCTTATGATGTTGAACAAGCAACCATAGAAATATTCACTGGGGAGAGGTGCACCACTGATGTTATTTTGCAGGCTAGATAGCTAATCAGCTGCTCAGCTGCAGCATATTAAACAGCATGTAAATGTACTTGCAAATGTCACATCGGTCCAGTTAGATGCTGGTGTGAGCCTTATTCCTCCATACCACTAACAACAGGCTTTCTGCCGATGACATGTACTTGCAGCTCTAGTTAGTTTACTTTGTCCCTATGGTGTAATACTGGCACTCTGGCAGGCAGCTGCTGTCAATCCAGCCGGCTGTCAGGGAAAGGAGCATTTCTGATATTTCCCCGAATACCTATTTTCTTCCATTTTAGTAATAATAAACTATGTAACAATACATAAAAAAACAACATGTTGACTTTGTTTCAGACTAAAAAGAGGAACAACTAGATGTGATTTCAGTTGGACTTAATGTTTGCTCATATAAACAGAGCTAAAACTGGGTTCTGGTACTGTAGGATCAGAAGATGTGATGTTCTCTTTAGGTTAAAATCCCACTGCCTTGGTGTCACAAGAACAGATGTATAATCCTGTTTACATATTATTTGATCAGACACTTGGAATTTGTTTTACTGTACTCTTACTCTTGTCCACACTGTACCATGTTCGGTTTCTCTGCTGCCTCGCCCTGTTCTGTGTGAGAACAGCAGGGCTTCAGTATAACCTGTATGAGGAATGTAGGCTAGAGCTGACGGTGTGTGTGTGTGGGTGTGTGTGTGTGTTAGGGAAGAGCTGTGATTAGATTTGAACCACTTCTCTAACATAATTAATTGTCTTACAGGAGAGTTGTTGCACCTCAAGGGTCTCAAAAGACACACATTCAGAAACACACCCACCCAAGCTGTCACACTGACTTAACATGGACATGTATTGAATGCACAGACGGAATTTGAACAGGTGTGGCTTTTGGGCAAGATTGAAAAATTTCACATTATGTTGACAGTGCAGTAGAGAGAGAGAGGTGTAGGGCAGGGTAGCATAGGAGTACAAAGAGACTGTGGCGGGAAAACAGACTGGGAGTCGTCGCAAAGCAAATACGGCGACATGCACAAGTATGTGTTATTTGCACAGTACAAAATATTAAAAAAATAATACCAAAACATAAACACTGTCAGTAGATGTGTGTTTTTGCGTTATGTGACTAATAAGACCCAATCAGGAAGTCAAACGTGAGTGTATGCGTCATCATTTTTAAAGTCCTCTGCTTTCGCATGTCCACACTAATACACTACCCCAGAGTTTTAAAAATGAATATGGGGTGAGCAGTGTTTTCAAACTTTTCTGTTAAAGGTCTATTTTGTTGTTTTAGTCTGGACAGGAGGTGCAAACGTAGCAAAAGGTCTGTGTTTTAAAACAAACTTTCTAGTGTGGATATAGCCTAATAGGTGAGCTGTCACCGCGCCCAGGTTTTTGGACAAGACTACATGTAGCTGTGGTTTCTTAAAAGTCAATATATCTATTCATGATAAACCTGCTTTTTACCACTGTCAGGCTTTTTTAACGCACACTTGCGGCATCATCAGATGAGTAATAGTTTAACATTCTGGGAATTAAGCTTAGATGTTCAGATTCATAGCAGTCTCATGTCTACATAGCTGGTGTCAGGACTTGGTTAGCTTAACCTCATATAAAGACTGGAAACTGGTGGAAAGGGTTAACGCTGGCACTGTCCTAAATTCAGAAATACGGCTCTAAACTCACTAATTGAGAACGTTGTATCTTTTTGTTACATCTGTATGCAAACGAAAATGTAAAAAAAGCGGTTTGTGGGTTTTACGGGGAGTTGGGTGCTAGAACCACTGTTGAATTTGCATGATTGGGACAGATGTGTCCTGTGTAACTGTCTCACTGGTCCACCAGTTTGATCATTGGTATTATTGTGTATACTGTATGTGATTTATAATGTAGTTTTTTAGGCCTCTGAGGATGAGCCCTGCTGCAGTGCAGTGAGCTCTCCTGCAGTAAAGTCAGAGTATTGTGATCAGTGTGTGAGAGGGATTTAAATGCCTGCATGTATTTCGTCCCTGGACTGTGTTACACTATTTGTGCTTCTGTCTTGTGTGTGTGTGTATATACAGCATATGCTTTTGACCTCTGGTTTGTCCACCTTCAATTCAAAGACACAACTGTCAATGTGTTACCATAGTGTGTGTTTGTGTTTTCTAGGTTGCAGCCAACACTCCCAGTATGTATTCTCAGGAACTGTTCCAGCTCTCCCAGTATCTACAGGTAACGCACTGACACCTACTGATCACTCTGGGGACTTGCACCAAAAATAAAAAGGCAGTAGTACACACAGGTTTTTCCCTGGTCAACAGACAGCATTTTTAATGCCAGCACATTTACTTGCATTTTCAACATCCACATGAACAGAGGAGGACAGTATTTCTTTGCAGTGATCTGAGATGACTGTGTCATTGATAAGAACTGACCTAATGAAACAGTACAAAGCATATACCATCCATTTTAATGGTGCTTTGATCAGGATTGTTGTTACCAATCGCTTGAGGCAGTATCGACTGATACTGATCACAAGGTCTTTTTGAAGCCTTCGATTATTGTGTAGAGATTATTATAAGAGATGAGAACGTATCATGAACAACTATTTATTGGCAGGCAACATCAAACTTAAATCATAGCAGTCTACCCTTGACGGTGTAACTCTGGAGGGGAGGATTGGTAGGTTATTTCTTATTCTCCACCTTATTTTAGGAAGAAACTACCACCTTTTATCCCCCAACAGACACACACACACCTACACCTCCTGTCTCTTACTGCACACACACCTGCTTCTCTCTCTCTCCTTGTCTACTCTGTTGACTTTCTTCGTCAGCAGTATGTTTTATAAAGTCACTCAACCAAAACTTCTCCCGTGATTATGTTTTCACAACAGCAGGTGAGCCGTGTGTGGAGGAGGCTTGTTGTTAATGAAGTCTACCTGTACAATTAAGACTAAGATCAAGACGAAGATCTCTCTCTCTCTCTCTCTCTCTCTCTCTCTCTCTCTCTCTCTCTCTCTCTCTCTCTGTTTCTCTCTCTCTCTCTCTCTCTCTCTGTTTCTCTCTCTCTCTCTCTCTCTCTCTGTTTCTCTCTCTCTCTCTCTCTCTCTCTCTCTCTCTCTCTGTTTCTCTCTCTCTCTGTTTCTCTCTCTCTCTCTGTTTCTCTCTCTCTCTGTTTCTCTCTCTGTTTCTCTCTGTCTCTCTCTCTCTCTGCCTCTCTCTCTGTTTCTCTGTTTCTCTCTCTCTCTGTTTCTCTCTCTCTCTCTCTGCCTCTCTCTCTGCCTCTCTCTCTCTGCCTTCTCTCTGTTTCTCTGTTTCTCTCTCTCTCTGCTCTCTCTCTCTCTGCCTCTCTCTCTGTTTCTGTTTCTCTCTCTCTCTGTTTCTCTGCCTCTCTCTCTCTCTCTCTCTCTCTGTTTCTCTCTCTCTCTCTCTGTTTCTCTGCCTCTCTCTCTGTCTCTCTCTCTCTGTTTCTCTCTCTCTCTCTCTCTGCCTCTCTCTCTCTGCCTCTCTCTCTGTTTCTCTCTCTGTTTCTCTGTTTCTCTCTCTCTCTGCTCTCTCTCTCTGTTCTCTCTCTGTTTCTCTCTCTCTCTCTCTCTCTCTCTCTCTCTCTCTGTAAAATTCTATAATGGGTCGCTGGCGTTGAATATATCTGGGCAGGCATTGGATCGGCCTTTATACATTCAACGCTCAAACTATTTAGAACAAATCTAGTCTGTTAAAGAAAATGTGCAGTAAATGATTTCTAAAGGAAGTGTCAGGGAATCTTTTCGTAAAGACTTATGTAACCTCCTTTTTGATTTGTGAAGGAATTAGATCAAAAACATTTTCTCCTCACAGCCCAAGTGATGTGATTTCCTAATGAAAGAGACCTGGGCCCTGTTTCAGAAAGCAGGCTGAACAAACTCTGAGCTTAAACCTGAGCTCTGAGGTGGGAAACTCTTGAGTTGTATTTAATAAGCTGTAACCCGATTTACAAAATTGTGGTGGCAATCGGCTACCTAATTATGAAAATGGGTAAAGAGCATATATATAACACACAGTTTACTCGTGAACCTGTGATTGTAAAATCAGTCACACCCAGTAGGTTAGCCTGTTTTTTGGGGGGGGTTTTGCAGTGGAAAATGTGTGTATAGGTTCAAACTCACAAGTAAATTTTACATTAATAAAATCTTGCTAATTTTGTATATTATTAATGCTGTCAAAACACATTCAGAATATATTTAGCTAATAATGAAAAACTCACGTAAAACTACATTTAGGACTATTTGTTTCAGCTGCACCACAGTCATCCTCACTCAGAAATAGACACATTATCTCCAGTATGATAACTACGATAGGAATGTTCCAATCAGTGCGACTACGATATGAAAGATTACTGTTCATTGATCAGTTTTTTTTCTGTGCTGAGGATCAAGCCACGATGTGCGGAGGTCTGTCCTTACATCAGTGACAGATTGATCATAAAGCGGTCATGTTCAAGATCATGTTTGGTTGAAAAACTAATAGCAATTATAAATAAAGATGTACATGCATTCAGATACTATATCAGCTTTGATATGACCGTATGAATGAGGAAATGAAACCGTGTGTCAGACAGCTGCCTCAGGCTCCGCAGGAGGGGAGAAACTGACGGTTTTCCAGCTTGCCGGAGTTACTGATCTAGGGTTTATCTGATCTCGCTCTCTGAAACAGAAAACTCAGAGTTTCCCTCGTCTCAGGTTTAACATACTCAGAATTTTCACTAATCCCGCTTTCTGAAACGGGGCCCTGATCTTTAAAGGCTTTCCAAAGCAACAAGTCAACTAACAGACCTACAGTCAACTGAGACCAAACAACTACTGCAAAACCTTTTTATATTTAAATGGTTTGAGTAAACATGACAGCATAAGAGACAAGCTGCACAGACGAAGTGGAATAGAGTTAAAGGGCAGTAGTTCGAAGTAACCAGCAGGGAATTAACATCCATATACAGAGATTAGCAATTTGTTGTTCATTGACGCCTAACTAATATAACTAATTAAAGTTAATTAAAGCTCTAATGTCATATCAGTTTATTAAGTGTTTACTAAGTTCATTTTAAAAAGCCCTTTTAGTTAGATTTTTACAGAAGAACATATAAAAAACAAAAAAAACAAATGATGTTCGTCCTGATTTGTTTCTTATTGATTACCCACCTCTCCCCCTCCCCATCTTCTTTTCTCTCTCTGCCAGGAGGCCTTACACAGAGAGCAGATGTTGGAGCAGAAATTAGCTACTCTGCAGCGTCTGTTAGCCAACACTCAGGAGGCCTCGGAGAGCAGCTGGCAGGTAGGAAATACCATTTATCATATTTTAGTCCTGTACTGTAACACAGAGGCCATGATGCATGCTCTGACTTTTCACTCCAGCTGTTTTCACTCTTCTTGCAGATTAGTTTTTGGTCAGTTTATCTGTTTTACATCTCTCAAAGGTAGCCTACATTCAGACAGCTCAAAAGTACACTACACCATAATGTATTGCACACATTGTACTGTATTGCTGTGGCAATATGGAAATAATATGTTCTAACAAAATCAAAATCAAAATGGTCATTAGGACTGGGAATTTTAGTGATTTAGTGTCTGGAGAGCAAACCAATACACCTCAGTTCATTAACAATCTATTTTTTAAATAACTAAACCATCATTTATTGTTATTTTGGATCATGCACACTGTACTTTGCCCCACATTAACAACTGTACATTGGAGGTATTTCTCTAATTTCCTTTTTATCTCTTATGATTTGAACAAACATGTCCAACACTGCTGTAACTGGATGTGTGTCTTTGCCAGGCTCTGATTGATGAAGACCGTCTGCTCTCCAGACTGGAGGTGATGGGCAGTCAGCTACAGGCTTACTCTAAGGTAACACGCACACTCATGTGACTCTGTCAGACATAACGTGATAGACATAACATATTCTCCTGCAGCAAAAGGATCAAAACTAAATCAAAATCATCATCCGCTATATAAAAATAAATCCTCTCCTCCTCTCTCATAGTCCCAGACGGAGGAAGGTATTCGTAAGGAACTCTTGGCTCTTCAGGAGGACAAACACAACTACGAGACAACGGCGAAGGAGTCCCTGAGGCGAGTCCTGCAGGAGAAGATCGAGGTGGTCAGGAAGCTGTCAGAGGTGGAGGTAGGATACACACATACATACTGTAGAAACACAGTCATTTCAATGCAGTGGAACCAAAACGTTTTTTCTTTCTGCTGTCCTGCAGCGCTCACTCAGTAACACGGAGGATGAGTGTACCCACCTGAAGGAGATGTCTGAGAGGGGCCAGGAGGAGCTGAGGGAGCTTGCCAACAAGTACAACGCTGCCGTCAATGAGATCAAAGAGCTCACTGACAAAATCAAGGTACCTGCACTGCGTGATGTTACTCTGATTGACTTAGGATTTAATGTACCTGCAATAATATTTGATTTAATACCAAATATATTTTATTTTGCCGATTGTTTGGAGCAAAATATGTTTTATATACTGTATGGGGCTTGCTTTTATTTTAATTTGTTTGAATCTCTTTTCCTTGCTTCTGACTTTGAATTATGTCCTCCTTTCTCTCCTCACCCTCCTTTCTCCCTTCTTGTCTCCTCTCTTAATCCTCTCACTCCTCCACTGCCCACTGACTTGCTCCTCATACCTCCTTTCTCCTCACTGTTCTCTGCCTTATTCCCTTTTCCTGCTTTGTCGTCGTCCCTATTCTTCTCGTTCCGTCCCTCCCTTTCTCACATTCCTCCGTCCTCCTCTGTCTGTCTACCTCCAGGCGGCAGAGGGCCGGCAGGAAGAACTGACCCAACGGGGAGCGACGGAGAAGAGGGAGTTGGAGCTGCGGATCGAGGAGATGGAGGAGAAGGAGCAGGTTCTCCAGGCTCGCATCGAAGCTCTGCAGGCCGACAATGACTTCACCAACGAGAGGCTCGCTGCCCTGCAGGGTACACACAGCGCTCGTGCACACGCACACGCACGCACACACACACACACACACACACAGTCCAGTTGACATACTGCACCCTTCAAACCCATAACTCTAACACACAATTTAACATAGCAACCAGTGGCCGGGTGAGAACAAGTCTTCAGGGGGCTCGGCTGGGACTCCCTGTCAGTCAACACTTCTCTCTGCTGTCGTTGTTGTTTACAGTGCGGTTAGAACAGCTACAAGAGAAAAGCATTAAAGAGAACAACAGCCTGGGTGAGTCCACACTTTTCTGGCCTGCTCTGGGACACTCTGCCGCTGTTTGTCTCTTCTGTGGCCGCTAACTTCACTTCCCCATCCTGCACTAATGATGCATGACAAATTAATTGCATGATGTCCACATAACTTCCTGTTGCGAACTGCTCTCCTCACTCTGTTTGTTCATCTGTCTCTCTGTCTGTCACAGTGGAAGTCTGGCTCTTCTTCTTCTGTTTTAGTCTTGTTTATGGTAGCTTAGTCTGGCCCTCAGGTTGTAGTTTAAAGGGGGGACATGTGATGTTCATTCACATTCAGTCGAGAATTCATTTTTTTATGATTGCAGAATCTACGAGAATTAAATGGCTCACATAAGCCCTCAGTACATTTCTGTCAAGATCTTAAATCATTCAGATAGAATCATGCTGGCAGCTGACTTTACAGCAGGTCTGCTACTGTTAAGGCAAGATAAACATCATCATCCACTAGCAAGATGTCTGTGAAGATTCTCAGTCATCCAGGTCATAGTTATCCAAAGAAGGTTAAAGTCAAGGGCAACTGGACTTGGTTGAAGATACTAGAAGACACAGAAGCAGAACTGAAGAAGTCCTTTGGATGAGGGACGAAACGTCTTCTAGTATCTTTAACCAGGTCCAGTTGCCCTTGACTTTAACCTTTTCACCTTATCACATGCATACAAGAGCAGGTGTAATACAATAAAATAAAACAGAAAAAAATACATAAATACGTATTATAGTGTAATAGACCTGGGCGATATGGCAAAAAATGTTATCACAATAAAAACATTACATACCATTCGATATCAATAATTATCATGATAACTGTAAAATCATTATTTCTTTCAAGTTTCAAGATAATTATTATTGTTTTATTGCCCAGCCCTATATTGTACTATGTAAATACACATAAACAAATATATAATAGAGACCACCAATAATTCTCTTTATCCCCATATCGATATTTGGGAGTTCAGAAAAGTCAGATTACGATTTATTGTTTAATATTTAACAAACATTTTTGATAAGGGCCCGTCAAATTTAAGAAATTGTGACTAAGATATCTACATTAGATATATTGACCAAAAAGTATATGTAGCCTATACTGTATGTTTGTATACAATAATAAATAAGTAAGGTTTTGTTGAATGCATTATTTTCCTAGTGTGCAAAGAAACCAGAAATGTTAAGGAATTAGTGCAGTGCAGCAATCTGATTCCAATAAAATGTGCATAACTACAGGGAATGATAAGCCAGGGCAATAGATGATTTGGATAAACTTTACAGAATGTGCATGTCATTCAGTACAGGTGTAGTAATTGAAATGTAGAAGTTTGAGCACCATTAGCTGAAATTAAAGTGAAATCTTCTTCATTCTGTGTAATGAAATGCACAGCTTACAGTTTGCGTACATTTGGGTCAGGACATGGGCATAATTAAAGAAATGGACTCCTTGTTACAGGATGGCATCCCATTCATAAGCTGAAAAAGTTCTTTAGGCTTGCATGTTTTTGGCCTCGTTGTGCATAAGGATTAAAATTATTCTCTGGCTGAAAATACTATGCTCAGGGTTTAAAACACTCACCTAAACCAGTTTCTTTAATAATGATTGTGTATGGGTAAAGTCTTTCTTATTGTGGCCATATGCCAAAATCACCGGCCCAAGTCCCCAGGATCAACACCAGGCTGCACGAGGATTCAAACGTGTGAACTTTGAATGACAGGATGGTTTGTGTAACGACTGGGTGTGGCTGTTTCAGAGGTGACAGGTTGTCTCAGGGACATGGTGGGTCTCTGTTGAGCCTGAACAGGATTTGTTGGGGTTTCTGGATAATCTGGGCTGTTTCCGTGGTTGCCAAACTGTCCACTGCTTTGTTTTTCTTATTCTGGGGAAAAGGAGCTTTTGGTCACTGATTGACAACACTGAAAATGAATGCTGGAGGTGACTGTCTCACTGCTCACTTCGCCACAGCAGCCACTTTGTGAGGGAACCTGCCGTCATTTGGACTCTTACTCTGTTCTGAACATGTGTTTGGCTGGTAAAGTCTCGACAAAATCGTGTATATATCTGATCTGGTCACACGACAGATGTCAACAATGTCTCCCACGGACCAGTAGAGGAGCCTGTCGAGGACAAACAGAACCTGCAGACACCTGAGAGCCAGGAGGAAGACGAGGATGAGGAGGATACAGACACAGATGATGGTGCAGTTGGTCAAGATGAAGATATTGATGGTAGTTAGTTTGATTATCATAATAATAGACAGTTTGGTTTATTTGTTCTATGACAGGTTTTACAAAGTGATTTACAGAAGTACAGAAACGTCATACAGAAGTACAGTACAATTTAAGAAAGGTTTTCAAAGTATGAGGCGTGCCTCCCCAGGGAGACTCCAAACTGTTTCAGGGGAGGCTTGGTGAATGGAAGTGAAACAATAATACTAGCAATACTATATTAGTTATCAAAAGGAGATCACATGGAATAGCCTACATGTGAGACTTGGTTAATGAGAGAGTTCAGAGATACAGTAGTTTGGGTGAACTGTTCCCACTTTACCAGAGTCAGAAACTAAAAAAATGCCTTTTTTTAATGTTGTTTGTGTGGTCTGAAGTGACGTAAAACAGCAATATTAGGCTATTTTGCCTCAATTGTTGGGTGTCTATGAGATCAAATAACATAAATAATATAAATAATAATGATCCGACAGGCATTCAGGAATTGAGCTAAACTAAACAAGTAAACTGGGGGGGTGAGGGGCACCTTCTCCCAAGCTTTGTCTGAGGGGAGGCCCACAGTCTCAGACTTTGAAATCCCCTGATCTAATCCACATGAATTTTGAAACATTGCAGAATAAAATGTTATTCAAATAATACTTAAAATAATCTAAAAAGCAAACCTATAAAATTAGGTTTTAAGAAAAGACATCGTGTTAGGAGGTTCCAGACGTATTTGTTCATCTAACTGCCTTTGCTAGTTTTCCGTATTATCAAAGTTGAGTTTATCAGAAAAGCTTAGTTTAACTTTTGATCTAGAGAAATAATTATTTTATATTAAAATGTCACACATTTTTTAGTAGTTGTAGTTCACTATGCATTACACAGACAATATAGCACGGCAGTCCTGGATTATGCTTAAGAAAGCACCTACTTAGATATGCTTGGAGGCATGTTACTTTTCTTTACGAGGTTTGTTTGTCTTAAATGAGCCTAATATATCCTGCGGGGATGATAAAGAGGTGATTTAAAAATCCTGCATTGACAATGTTCAGTTCACTTCAGTAAACTGAACTGTGAACTGTTGAGTCCAGTTATTTGTTTTTTTTTAGGAGACACTTTTTGTCACTCTGTGTCAATGATCTGATGCAGAAATTCTTCCTGATTTTAAAATAATTTTTAGGAAAAGTGATTTTCAGGAAATTGTAGTCTAGTAGAGTTTAAACTCTTGGCCTGGTCAATTCCACATCTTGTTTGTAAAAAGTTGAACTGAACGGTTTTTGGGAGACAGAAGTTTACGCCTGAGCTGTCTGTCTGCTGTCCGCCTGTCCACATCCTGTCTGTTATTACAGTGTTGTGGTATCTTTCCAGAACCACTGTATTATACCTTTATTTGCCTGAAAATACCTGCCATGTATAGCTTTGGTTTCTGCCCTGTACGTTTGTTTCTACAGCATCTATATTTCCGTGTAGTTGTCAGTCTCTCTGTAACTTGATAGTTCTGTCATGCTTTTTACCTGCTTGTATCTGCTTTCTCTCGTGATTTCTGTCTTCTCTGTCTGTCTTCAGCTCTTTTTATCTCGTCCTCTCTGATACAGGGTTGGGTATTAAGGGCAGATTCTGTATTGGAACCAGTTCCAAATCTCTTCATCAAGAAAAATGGTTTTTGATTCTGCTTATCGAGTCCACCATAAACTGTATATAAAGATGGACGACACGTCTTAACTTCCTCCCACTGTACAAAAATGAACCCAAAAGATCCTGGCTACGGGCGCTGCCATCTTGCATTTGAGTTTGTGCATTAGTTTGAGCCACAGTATCGAAGTCCCACGTATACACCTGGCTGACTCAATCACAAGCAGGGCTCAGCTGTCAATCATGATGAGAACCCCCCTTTTTAAAGCATCAAATAACAAATTAAAACCAAACTTATCAGACAAATGAACACCTGAACATCAAAATTTCTTTGACTTTATTATTTGTGTCTTTAGATTTGATAGTCACCACCAACAGATGTTTTGGCTTCACTTTTGGGGAGCTGTCATGTCATCCATCTTTATATACAGTCTTTGGATTCCAAAAAGTAAAATTTTGACCTTCTGCTCCCCATTATACGTAGCTAGCTATACGTGCATTAACACGTGTATATTGTCACAATTTAGCAAAGGAGTGAAACATTTAAATATTACAGTAAAATAATTTCACGCAGTGATGAAGTTCATCTAACATGAGGAAGCATTTCCTGTAGTTTTGATGTCATAATGCCTCAAAATCAGCTGATGATGGGACCAGAGGGGGAAAAAAACACTGGAAACAAGTGAACATTCAGTTTATGCATGGTAAGACAGAGCGTACTAATATTTTTTTTACTAATGTCTTTTACCAAAAATAATCCCAAAAATGACAAATGGTGTCCTCAAGCTACTTCAAATGTGTTGGCCACATCTCAGTGAATCCTATAATTTAAGAATGGGAACAAAATATGTTGAAGGCATTGATAAGCAGAATCAATGAAGTCTGAAATAAAACACCCAACTCCACTTTGATAGTCATCTTAGTAATGTCAGTGCTCTGTGTTTCTATCAGACAACTGTCATGTTAACAACAGCGGAGGAGACTCGACTAGAATCCAACAGTTTATTGAGTGTCCGCGTGAGTACAAACTTCCATTCCTGCTCTATGCTGCTGCACACACAAATACAGAAACAACAACATAAAACTAATTAACTGTAAGATTGTAAGTCTTGACTTTCTTTGTCAAAATGATAAGATAAATGCATTTGACTTGATGTCAAAACTTTACTTTCTCAAAATTCTTCATTATTATTATTTTTTAACTTATTCTTAACATGCCTAACACGTCTATTTTGTTTTCTTTTCCTGGTGGAAATGTGCCTCCATACATACACTCACTCCATACTTCCCTGCTTGTTCTCCAGAGGAACCTTCTTTGATGGAGCAGGTTGTGGATCTTGGTTTAAGAACAATTAACTACAATTAAATATGATCTAATCTCGGTTTAAAAATGTTAATAATGCCAAGGATGAGGAGCCTCTTGATGACCTGTCAAGTTTTGGCTTTTTCACAAGACTGTCTTGACATCTTGGCAGATTCTTGGCCTGATGTTTGAAATAAACTTTTCCAGCTGTTTTTCTTTCTTTTTACGGTTTGTTATTTCCACATAATGTAAAGAAAGTCTGCCTCGACGTCAACACAATGAACCTGAATGAAATTTTCAATCAATCCGTTGCTCACATTACAAATCTTGAGAGCAGCATCTCTCACCAGAAACAGTGTCCCCATTATTTAGACTAATCTACATACCTCACTGTCCACAGTTTGCATTGGAAACTGTTCTAATATGATTCAAGTTGGCAGTTCATCATGAGTAACACGGACACCATTTATGGAAAGGCATCACTAGATACGCTTAGAGCTAATTTGTGTGAACTGACACTTTATAAACAAACAGAACTGAAGTTGCAGAATATGTACCGCATGTACTCGCATATTTAATTTCTTATATTTCAAGTATATTGCTCTGTCACTGCTGGCTGAACTGTCTTGCTGGAGACGTGTTTGTTGCTCAGCCACTTGAGCTCATTGACTTCTTGTCTGCCACTAATGTGTTTCACTGGTGCTTTGGTAATTTACCTCTGGTCAGCTGGTTCTCAGCTTCTCAAACATGGCTCACACTTTTCTTCTTCTTTAGCAGATCTTCACATATTTATTTATTTTTTTTCTCTCTCTGCACGCTGCCTTTGTAACTTTTCCCGGAATTAGTACACTAACCTCCTCGTTTCTTTCTTTTTGTGTTTATGTTGTCCTCTTTTGGTTCTTTCTTTTCCTTTCAAGTCACCTCACTTGGAGAGAATTTGTTCAGCTACTTTTCTAATAACCAAGTTAAAAGCTAACAATGTATGGAAACTTCACTTGACTCACTGCATTTCTGATACCAGTCAAACAATCGCATATATAGAGCTGTTATCGCTTCTTTTCCTTGTTTGTTGACATTTGCCATCAGCTGCCAGTCGCAAAATGTTGTTAACATACAGTAGCAGCATTACTGGCAGTCCCACTTACTGCCGTTGTGGTTGGTGGCTCCATTGGTGGTAGACTTTTGCATAGGGGGTAATTATTATTATTTTACCAATGACAATACCATTACTGCAGCGGCTCACTCGAACTCGACGCAGTTTCACTGACACTGAAAACAGTGAAACAATAATTCTCTTCTTTGCAGCTAGGAAACATAACTTACATGCAGAGCGTATGGCTTTAGATGGACCAGGAGGATTTCATAGACATGAATCAAAATGAACTGAGTTGAGGCTTGTGGATTTTTCTGTTTATTGTGGGAGCCGCTGATTTCGCAGCCCAGTGAGTGTGGTTTTTGCAGTTAAAAAGACATCTCTGTATCTGATTTAACTGGGCTACATTTACATGTCATTTATTTGGTTCCCCTGTCGAGAGCAGCTATACAACTTTCATGTCCTCGGTTACAAGATAACTGTACTACAAACAACTCATTTATTCTGTTTACAGCGGTCCACGATGTGATAAACTACCGCATCAAAATTTTTTACACAAATCTATCTCAGCTAACGTGTCACAGATTCTTTTAATGTGCAATGTCTAAGAATCGAACACAACCTCTCACCCACTATTTGACTTATAACTTTCAGTGCAATTTCCACACTTAACATCTGTACTAATCCAGCTGGTAACTCGCCCAGAGTCGGTCTAAATGGCTGTATGACTGCTGGTGGTTGTTATTATTATTTTATATTATTATTAGGATGTTAAGTTGACTTATTGGACATTTGCAGAGTTTGGGACAGATTTGAATTGATCAAAGTTCAAATTCTCTGTGTTAATTTTAACAGACTATATTCATGGTTTCTCTGGTTTTCTTTTTTCTCCCTGCAGCAGTCAAACAGCTGAAGGAGACTGTAAGCTCTTCAATCCACAAACTGGCCAACTTTGATGGTAAGAGCTCGGCTAAGATTCAAGTACAAAGTCCTGGAGCAGAACACTAGAAATCAGAGAGAAAACAAACCTGACTCATTTACCATCAGCTACTACGTAAACCGTGAATGGGCGGCTGACTTTGTGAAGCTTTAAGATAAAAATGTGTGTTATCACATTTAAATTGAACTATATTCTATCGTCACTAACAGGTAATGTTTATATATTTGTGTGTAGAAGTGATGGACGCCCACCTACAGAACAACCAGACAGCAGAAGACGACCTCCTGGCCAGCCCTGATCGACTCAAAGGTAGAGGACACACACTCACAGACTTAAGCTGGATTTATACCAACATGCTCATATCTCAGAACAACACGAGGCTCCAAAACTACATCATCTTTGTTATCAAATAATCATTAGAAACTTACCAAAAATCATATATTGTGCTAGTTTTTCAGTTTAATTCTTGTTATAATTTTAATTGTTACAATTATTAAATGTTAGTGAATATCATCATGTGTCTGGGGTTTGTTAGAGGGCTTTTCAACAGTTAAACTGACTTTTTGTGATGCAGTAATCACAAAGGGCAAAACTGCTGACGAGGAGATATCCTACTACAGTGACCTCTGACCTTTGCTGTTGTCAGAGGTCTGTCATACTGTGGATTCTCTGCGGACACAAACAATGCTCAGGCTCACCAGCAGCCACGTGTGGAGGCTGTGACACAGTGCTGAAATACATTTTCTCCTGACACGCACAAAGATGTTTTTATATTTCTATACTTCTTGGGGCCCTAATTGCCACAATACATTTCCTAGCCCCCAACCAAAACCTAAACCATCCCAACTAACCGCAGCCCTTAATCTAAACCTACTCTAAACATAATTCTAAGCTCAACCCCGAAAGGAAGTCTAAACCTTCGAACAGTCCTTTGATGAAACATACAGCAAAATTGTGTTAACTCTCAAGGTCTAAAAATCAGATTGCATAGGTCAGATTTGTTTAGGTCTATGTTTCACCTCCTGAACCCTGCTATGCCTCACATGCTATAATTCAAACACTGCACCACACATGTGTGGAGATGTATTTAAAATTTTCTGTTCCTTTTTATTTATTTATTTTTTTTGGTATTCTGTGCCTGGCTATTTTTGTTTTTTTCTTCTTTTCTTTTGTTTGCTGGTTGCTTTGCATAGTTTCCACACCCACTCTGTCCCCTCCTGGCTAACTGTGTGTGTGTGTGTGTGTGTGTGCGTGTGTGTGTGTCCCAACAGCGAATCAGATGGATGCCAAAGAGTCCGACATGTCAGACACTCTGAGTCCCAGCAAAGACCGCAGCAGTGACGACACGTCAGGTCAGTAAAACACGCTGAGTGATGATTTAACCAGTCTCGTTTATGTGATTCTTTCCTTCCCAATACATTAATCTGGTTTAATTTCAAGGTTTTACTTTTTTCAGTTCAACTGCTGTTGACTTTTGATAACTTTCCTTTGAATAGCATTAAAGTCTGTTCTGTCATCAGTCTGCATCTGTTACATGTAGAGCAGGGCACGACAGTAACGGTGGCCCGGGGCCAGTAAGAAATAACATCGGAACTGTTGAACTAGCAACTCACTGGCAAAACATTCTGCAGTTGTTTTTCAGCAAATGGCATGCACGTTATCCAATCCAGAGTTGTAGTCACGTGACGAGTGGTTGTCAAATGTTATTTCTCTAATCTTAATCAAGCGGCAGTCTCTGGGTCTGAAAGTGAAACCATGCAGATGGAACTTAAACCTGCATTCTCTATAGCGGCCAGCAGGGGGCAAAAACAAGTCCGGTTCCATTACAAATAAGGCTGAAAGGTTGCTACTTCTCAGCTGAATTATTACCTGAATTAAACACTTTGCTGTTGACTTTATGGTCTCAGTCGCTAGTTTCAAGTCTTCTTCAACACAGCATGATGTTCATTTAGTAAATTTTGTCTCATTTAGGGGGAAATAAATCAGAAAGCAGTGTATGCTTTAGGGTGGGACTGCCTTCTGATTGACATGTCGCTACCATGGCGACCTGTCAATCAGGATAGAGGTATCTGCTGCTCTCTGTAATTTTTATGTTGTTTTTTTTTAGTGAATAGCTGTCAGCAGAAGAGCGATCACGTCATGTTTTAGTCTGTTAGTATGTTTTGTTTAAAGAGGTGGTATTATGCTCATTTTCAGGTTCCAAATCCTACTTAGGGGTTGTACCAAAACAGGTTTACATGGTTTAATTCTTTACACCATACACCATATTTTTTGTCATACTGCACATTGCTGCAGCTCCTCTTTTCACCCTGTGTTGAACACTTTGTTTTAGCTATGGGGTGATGCATGTTGTCTCTAAATGATCTTTGTTGGGAGTTGCACATGCGCAGTTCCTAGTTGTCGGGCTAGTCGTTCAGCGAGCATTATGACACGTATTTACTTGTGACGTCACAAGAAAGGGAAGTAAAGGCTGGACTACAAACGAGCTGTTTTCTGTGGGAGATGGGAACTCCCTTTTGGTTGGACTTTGGACTTTTTCACTTTGCAAACCTAGTACATGCACAAAAAAACAAACAAAGCAAACAAAAAATGTTAACATTGAGCCTTGTAGAGCATCTCGTCTTTAATAATTTCATCACAAAATAAGTTCTAAGTAACCTACTGAGAATTAAACAAGCTAATCATAACTTATTTTCTAATATTTGTGTTGGTAATTCAGAAAAGTAAATCATCTTTGTAGGACCATGCAACACTAGTTATTTTTGTGAAAAATATGGTTGTCTACATTGTGACTATCCCTTTAAGTCCCTTTATAAATGTGTGTTTTAGACGGCAACATGGACGACCAGGAGCTGAATGAACCACAGAACAGAGTAGCTCTGCTCAAAGGTAACCATGGCAGCTCATCCGTTCTTTGTAGTTCTGCTCTGTACTGCACTAACAGACCAACAACATTAACCAGGGTCGTAAGCCAATGTATTTGTCAGCTTTGGTAATACAGTTCATTGTCCATTAGGGGGAGCTGTGCAGTTTTGTTTTTGGCTGCAGGTCCTTTTAAAGGGCTTTATTCTGATTTTCACCTTATTAATCTGTAGTATTTACATGTGTAAAAGAGTGTTTTTGGGGTAATAAAAAATGTTTGTGTGTCTGTAGCTGAGTTGCATCGGGCTGGTCTAGAGCCTGGAGACACAGAGCAGGTCATCCACCATCTCCACAGAGAGCTTCTGGAGGCCCAGGAATTAGCCAACACTGGCAAGCAGAGATGTCTGGAGCTACAAGGTAACTAACAGTATAAAATAATCCAACTACAAATTCCTACATTTCCTCCCATTTCACCTGATGTTCTGAAAAAGAGTTTCTGACATTTTTGAGAGTAAGTTTTATTTAGTTATTACTCTCATTGTATCTCACATGACGACATACCAGATCAATGAGATTAAGGTAGTGATCATATGACTTTTTCTTTCTGTAGCTCTGCTGGAGGACGAGAGGAGGAGTAACTCTAAGCAGACTGAAGAGTCGACCAAACAGATCCAGTACCTACAGAGTTAGTACACACACACACACACACACACACACACACACACACACACACAGAGAGAACAGTGAAATACCATTCATTTGTATGTTTCAGGATCGACATTGCTCCTAACTCACTTCCCTTTTTTGTTTGTGTTCAGCTCAACTTGGGAAGCTTCAGGCTGACATGGAGGCCCTGAGAGAGCAGAGGGAGAGCACCATCTGCACCACCAGAGAGGAGCTCTTCTCTGCCCAGGAGGAGGTACCACTCCTGCCCATTACGCGCTCACTCTCTCGCTCTCTCTCTCTACTTCTCACGACTCCCTCTGATGCCTCACCTCCTCCTGTTATTCCCTCTAGTGCCTCTTTGACTCCTTCCGACTTCCCTCTGAGCCCCCTCTAATTCTTTGACTCCGAATCCTCGCAACTCCCCTGTGACGCCACCTGACCTCCTTTTTTACTCCCTTCTCTCTTCGTCTGACCCCACTCTGCATACCTCCCTGCTCCTCCTTACTCTCCTCTTGCTTCTACTGACTACCCTCTGACTCCACTTGACACCTTTCCTTTATGAGTCAGTTTTACTCCCTTCTGTCTCCTATCTGTTTCTGACTCTTCTTGACTCCCAGCTGATTCCTCCCAGCTCTTTCTTACTTTCCGCTTTCTCTTCCGGAGGTAGCCTTCTACTGACTTCCTCCTGATTCCTCTCTGACTCCTGACTCTCATCGGACTCCTTGTGGCTCTGTCTCCTTAACTTTCCGCTGTCTCCTCCAAACTCTGCTCTGACTCTTTGACTCCTCCCTTTTCACAAAGAAACCAGACACGCTCTTGTACAGAATTAAACTTTTTGTCTGTTAGTTTACAGTAAATCCCAGTCATATATGATCACTGACCAACCTATGGGATTGTGTTTCTTCTATCAGATTCTCATCTTGCGGCGCACAATGGAGGCAGCCGAGGTGGAGCGGGAGCGGGAGATTGCCGCCTTGCAGGCCGACCTGGGCAGCGTGCGTTCTGAGTTGGAGCACTGGAGGAACATGGCCACCAAGTATGAGGAGGAGATCAGCCGACTGCAGGAGGCCTTCACACAGCAGCGACAGCAGCAGAACACTGCCAACCAGCTGCAGGGTCAGCAGAGAGTGTGTTTGTGTGTGTGTGTGGGTGTTTGAGGCTGCTAGTTTTTTATTCTACTGCAGGAGCCTCAAAATGGCAATGATGATTTTATTAAATTTTTTTCTGAATCAAGATTGACAATAAAATTCTTCAGATATTAATTAAAACTGTACAACCTCTATCTGTCACTCTCTCTCTCTCTCTCTCTCTCTCTCTCTCTCTCTCTCAGCGGAGTATGTTACGTTGCAGCAGCGGTGTGTGTGTTTGCAGCAGGACTGTGACGGCCTGAGAGATGAACGGAAAGCTCTTACGGACAAACTGCACCGCCTAGAGACTGAGCTGAGCAGGTATACACAAACAGGAGCGCACAGTAAATGCTTTATATTTACTCAACCACGTATACACAGGATTATTTACAGAGGTTACATTCGTTGACACTTTAAGGTGAAGGAAAGGTAGTTGGCAACACAAGCAAACTGTTACAACTGAGATGGATCAGAGTTTTTGGTTGGCTGGCCACTCTAATAGTCAGTCAGTTTTTGAACATGCCCAAGGCTGCCAAATATCAGCATCATTAACCTGCATCCACATCATAGCTCAGTGATATTTGCAACCAGAGACTTATATTTGATCAGTTTATCAGCAAAATCTTCTTACATGTATAGGTCGAGAACATAGATCATTAAAACTTTGTCCTTCATCTACAAAAACCCATCAGTGTTAACGGTAATGTTGAGATGTTACAGAACAGATGATGAGAAAGATTAAACCATCCTGGCATCACACGGCAATGTTTGTACAAAATTACACCACTTGGTAACACCTCTCTAACACAAAAACACTGGAGTCCCAACAAGGGAAGGTAAAACAAACTGTTCCCTCAATTACAACTTTCTTGTCAGGAGGTTGGGAGCATTTTCTGTGGGCTCAGACATCAAAAGAATTTGGTTACTTGCACAATCAACCATAAGCAAATACAGTATTTATTTGATGGTTTAAACACACTAAGTTTTGGTTTTATGCCAGGCTTGCCTTTTAAAATTATTATTATTAAACACAACTACTACTACAGGCTGCGATTTTACATACAACCATGAATGAAATACCCATGAGCTAAACTCCAGCTGACAGAACTGAAAAGATAACATTTCAAACATTTCAATGAGTTACTTAAAAAATTATTTAAAAGTAAAACAATATTTTGTACAGAATTTAATATACTATTACACTCCTAACTAAACTTCTATATTGAAAAATCCCCAAAGGCATAAATTTATGTTAAACTGTGTGTCAAACGGTGCAAGGGTCGACATTAAAACTGCAGCTGAAAGTCTTTGTGACAGCCGTGATCGAGTTGATGAATTCTGGGACGGCTGACAAGAGCAGCGCCAAGTTACAGGTCCTGACAGGTTCAGCATTTGGATTCAGCATTAAAAGAAAGACAAGGGACAGGAGGAAACATGATGTCCAGCTGATTCATGCAGAACAGGAGGACATCTGACTGACATCTGACTTAACCAGACCGGGCAGTCAGCAGGTTCACTGACTGCACCTCTATGCTCTGACTGTTCTACATGGACAGAAAACATCATGGCATGCTCTCATTGGAGCAGAGAGCTCAGCAGGATTTTAACAGCTCTTCAGCTGTGTTTTCACTAGTTTCTAATAAACTGTAGGTGCCACTGGCAGCAGTTCTCATGAAAATCTGTAACGCACCACTCCAGTAAATCTACAGATGTCAGCTGCAGCTCGCTGTCCCAATCCCTGTAGGATGCTGTTCAACCTAAAAAACTGCTTCTTAAACATCTTTAAATGATCAGCCGGAGATGAAGCAGAATTCCACAATGTCTCTGTTTAGTGTAAATATTTACATTCGGCAGCTTAAAGAGAGGCACGCCACCTCACCTGAAATAAAGAAGGTCAGAAGACAAGATTATATGAAATGTAACATTAACCTTCAGGGTAAAATAGCACATATTTAATGAGTGAGGTAATGTGTAATCTGATTCAGTTCAGAAAGTGATCGTGAGTGACACCGGACTGATCATTTTCAGGTTTATCAGGCAACAGAAGTTAGACTCAAGCAGACAACACACTGCAAAATGCAAGTTAAAGCTGTCAGCTGTCATTGATTGTCTATTAAAAATGCAGGAGGGGAGGAAACATGCAGAACACACAGTCTTCCCTTGAAACTCAGACACTTGTGTTGCTGCTTACAGCTGAAAAATAGAAGTGTCTTGTCTTCTGTGTTGCGTTGTTGTAATGCAGCAGGGCAGTGTTTTTGAAATTCAAGTCAAATTCAGCGACATATGAACTCTTTGACTTAAAGTTAGCGGTGTTAAAAATGCATTGAAGTCAGCACAGTGTGTTTCTGCTCCACGTGAAAGTAAATAAAAATAAAAGAAACATACAGTATCATTCAAAAGTTTCAATTTGAAAAAGGGAGGTTTGTGCTATTTTTATGGCAAGTTTTTGTGAAGTTGCTTTACTTAAATTACTCACAGATCATCATAGAATGTAAATAGAATAATTTCCAGTAAGAGAAATAAATGGTTTAGGAATCTCTGCTGCCTGTCTGTGCCCTAAATCTAGTCTAAAAGGTCACCTTAGTGCTTCCTACCATGCTAATTTAAGATGGTGAAGGCTGCTGTGATCAGTAAAATTAAATCAGTAAACAATTTCCAGTTTGACCTTTTTGTGTGTGTGTGTGTGTTTGTGTGCAGCACCAGGGAGCAGAGTCTGGTCCTCAGCAGCAGTCTGGAGTCTCTGGAGAAGAGGGAGGGGGTTTTGCAGGACAAACTGGGTTCTCTGGAGAATCAACACCTGCAGGATGCAAGTAATCTGAAGAGCCAGCTTGACCAGGCCCAGGCTCACACACACACACTGCAGAAAGAGGTACACAGTCCCTTGAAGTTAAGTCACTTCTAGATGCATTTTGATGACCTGACAATTTATAGAACTGTGTGTGTGTGTTGTTCAGTATGAAGACACACAGTCCCAGCTGTTGGATCTCCGTCAGCGCTATGAAAGGACAGAGCAGGAGAAGCTGAACATCCACCAGGAGCTGGAGCAGTGCAGGAGCAGCCTGAAGCTGCTGCAGGACAAGACCAGCTCTGTGAGTACACACACACACACACACACACACACACACACACACACACACAAAAGACCAAAGACCCTATGGACTATTCGTGTTGGAACCTTTTATGTTTGTGTTTGCTTTAAATCCAGATGTTTTTGTTTCTTGATGGGGTTTTTTCCCCCACACAGTTTGGGTTTTTTTTGCTTAAAGGTTAGTGCACGAGAAGCTCCAGACTTTCTTATGGACACTGTGGCAGTCTTGGACTTGCTACCCGTAACCCACCCAGCACTTCCAATTCACAGCCTCCATCCCCACTGCTTACTTGCTAACTGTGGACACAAAAGTCCCAACAACCAGTGTTTTAATCTCCAAATGAATTTTGAATCAGACCTTCAGTCCTGTAAACTAACGAAGAGTACTGATAACAACATCTGTGCTGGAGGTGAAAGTAAATGTAATGTAAACAGAATCGAATAGAAGTGACAAGTAACAAGAATACACACAGTGTGATTCCAGCACCTCATTAATACATAAGTGACCATATAAACTGTTTTTGTTCAACAACACTTAGACAGTTAAACATCCTGTGACCTCATTGTCTCTCCTACCTTTTCATCCATAGTTGATAAATAACCGCTGTTTTAACTTTACTGCTGTGAAAACTCAGGAAACACAAATCAGAAAATCAGAAGATGACAGCGAGGCGGAGCAGCCTCCTCCTCTGTTGCCCTTCTCATTCCTCTCTTCCTCTTCTCTCTCATCTAACTGTCTTCAACTCTTCTTCCTCTTCAGTCTTTTGTTGATGTGACAATAGATGTTTGTTTTGCTCCTCCGGTTTTGTCTCCCCGAAACTTTTCAGAATAAGAGTCCTGATCCAGACTCACAACAAACCTTGTTTTAACGAACATGGTCTTATTTTTCATAGCTTTGTTCATCATTTCTTTCAGTTCAGTCATAGAGTTAATAACTGAGATCTGGGTTTCTTGTGTTATATTGAGGAATGAACTGCAAAAACATTTAACCTACTGCTGAGGGAAGCGGGGACGATAGTTACGTCCAGCGCAGAGCAGAGAAAACCCAGTTAAAGCACCCCAAATTTAATTCACTCTGACAAGACACTAAATTCAGAGTGAGTCATAGAAAAATTAGACATCCACAGATAGAAATGAATGAAAGAGCCAGATAATTAGAATAGTTAAGAAATAGAATAAGCTCTCTTTTAAATTAAACATCTTAAGCAATGAGTGGAAACATTTTTTGAGTAGTAGCTTAATCAGTTTGTGTGATATGTTACTTCAGGACACTTTGAAAACAAATATTATCACATTATGGAAACTACCACTGACTATCCATGTAACAATTTGGCCACAGTATAGCACATTAACAATACACAGTCCAGCCATATAGTAGATTTTGACCTAGTTTAGTAAAAATAAATAAATAAATGTAAAAGTATAACTTTTTTCACAGATGTGGTACTGCACAAAACATATAAACATTTGACTTTCATGTGTTTCAAATAGGTGCAGATCCCCTTTAAGAAGCTGCCATTGTTTGTCATTTTGTTCCCAGATCTCAGCAATTACTTTGGTGCATATAATATGACTAGCGCTGATAGAAATTATGAACCAAGCTATGAAAATGAGATTTAAATTAAATAACCCAGAATGATCCTTTTAAGTCCATTTCACACTGGCCTTTAAAATCCACTGTCAGCCAGCAGCTGGCAGGTTTCTGAGACGTCCTGGTGCAGAAAGTTAATGAGCTGAAATCCGACAGGAAAATGTTTCTGTTTAAAGGAGCCTGGTGACGGGTGGTGGTTGGTGAATGTGACTACGCCTTCAAATTCCCCTTTCTCTCTGTCTCTCTCACCCACCCCCCCTCCCCTTCCTCCCCCCCTCCCCTTCCTCCCCCTCGCTGTAGCTGCTCCATCCTCCATGTTGGTTTTGGTTGATTTGCCGGCTGATTTCTTCTTGTCCCTCCCCCTCTAGCCATCCATATTGCAGCCTGTCCAAGCCATATTCATTGGCCTTGTCCTGGCTCTGCTGTACTGGTGTTTCGGCCAGTTGTGGTAGAAAGGTACACACCGACATGACATCAGTCTGTCTCTCCGTCTGTCTCTTTTTCCTCCATCTGTTCATCATCTGTGGCAGGAAAGATGACAGGTGGAAACATCGTCCTGTTCTGTGATGAATTCAGGGTCACATGTTGAGCACCATGAGAATAACACATAGTATTCCTCTGGCTAAAATTATTATTGTTCTCTAATCTAAACCATGTTCATGACCTTTTGTCCTCTGGAAAAAGTAGTTAGCAGTTGTTTACTGCTATTCTGTTTTTTTTCTTTTACCGCCATATCTATAGGGAATTTAATGCCGTGTGGGATTATGAGACAGTTACAATTGGGGTGCGATATATGTGAGGGCAATATTTAAATTGCTCTATAAAGTTCTTGAAGCCACATCTAGATGCACACAGTGTTATGAAATTAAGAATTGTACATTGTGTGGCGATGGAGCAGTGGATGAGACACATGCCTTTGGTGTGGGAGACCTGGGCTTGATTCCCTCTGCGACATCCACCAATGTGTCTCTGAGCAAGACACTTAACCCTAGTCACTCCAGAGGCATGCAGTCTCTGACATATATAGCAATTGTAAGTCGCTTTGGATAAAAGTGTCAAGCAAAATGACTATTTATAACATTGTCAGATACGCGCCCTCATTTTGTTCCAGCACCTGTGAGTCCCAGAATTTCTACCCAGCTCACTTTTGGAGCTCAGGATACGTCACAGTCCTGTTAGGGGAGATTTGAATGCACTGTGGGTGCTATACAGCGCTTAAATTTAATCTTGCTGTACTACCAGTGTTGTAAAGTAATAAAAAATCTACCTTGTATCCTTTGAAATGTTTCTATGCTAATGTCCATACGATACCAGAGTTGCAGTATAATTTTTTATTTTTTATTTTTTACCAACAGAAGAAGCCAGAAGTTCCTAAAATATTAAATGTTGTTTAAAAAGCTGCACAATAATTTTGTCTAGATAAAATACAGTGTACAATTTATTAATTTATGATTTAAGTCAGGAACTGTTTGCGGAAAAAAGTTTCCGTCCTTTCTTTGAGTATTTGACAGTATTCGATGGATACATTTGGTCCGTACCAGTAAAGGACTGAAGTTTAATATCAGAGCACCAAATTGTGATATTTACCAGGACATGAAGATTTTGGACAAACATACATGTAACAGTTGTATGTTGTTTCACACATTTGTGGACCACAGGAATATTAGCTGTTGCACAAGGATCCGACTATTAGTTTTTATCCCTTTTATAACAACATTAACCAAATGAGAACGGGGGACCAGTTTGGGTCATTTGGGTTTAGTTACGGAAAATTAATTTTTAAAGTTTATTATTTTGTAATTGTGCATCATGGTGTTGACTGCTGTACATAAAGGTAACGAGGCTGTTAGGGTTGAACCCTGAATTCTGATCAGCAGGATGCTTTCTTCTCCTCCTACACTTCCTGTAAGAGAGTATCATCATCATCATCATCATCATCATCACCTCGGTGGTCTGTGTTTGTCTTCTGGCAGCTCTAACTGCATGGGTTTCAGTCTGCCTGCCTGTCAGTCACATTTCCTCTGCTTCTGCTCTGCTGCAGCTAAAACCAAACTCGGTTCTTTAAAGGGCTGACATCTTCAGGGAAACATTAGTCCTCACACTCCCGCAAGAAAAGCTTTCTGGCTTTGTTAGAATTATCCTGTATGTTTAATGTTTGCTGTCCTTCCCTATGTTATTATTTTTTGTCAACACTGACGAGGACACAGCCATCTTGTTTGAATAAACTTTTGTTGGAATTGTTAATTGATACAACCGTGGTTAGGTTCAGCGCTAGCTCCTCGTTGTGGCCGGTCAGCTGATCCATACAGTGTCTGCACAGCTTTAGAGGTCAGACCAGGTCAAGTCAAAATTCAGGAGTAAAAATATTGTATTCATTTATACTTTACGCAGGTCCTACAAATAATAATGTCATGTGGAAAAAGCCAACAAAAGTAAGAATTGCTCATTTTTATCTCTCCCAAATGATGCAAAGTTCTTTAATTTTGTATTGATTAAAAGAAAATTCCTGAACACAAACAAGTCAGTATAAGTTAGTGTTAGTATGGGAGTCTTTATTTAGGAGTTTTCCTCTGCAGCGCCTTGTGAAGATGAAGTTATCCCTTTAAAGAGTCGACCTTTTTATGAACCTCTCAGCCTCATTCATTCACAGTCTCTTCACAGCTCCCGCTCACTTTCAGGGTGTATATTTCATTTTATGCATCATTTCCTTTATCTCTTGTAACAGGGTTTGTGGTTATGCCATACTTATCTCTCTTGCTTAATCTCACTTATTCTCCATTTTTATTTTGTCTTACTTTACCTGCTTACAGGTGTGGTGTTTTTTTTTTTCCACTGACTCTATCTTGGTTTTTTTTTTTGTTTTGTTTTTAACGTTTCCTCCTGCCACTGATACTTTTTTATCTTCATATTTAAAACATCCATCATTCTGTCCATCATGTTCGTCCTGTGTTGTGTTTGCTGGTTGTTTGTTTGGGAATGTCTGACCGGTGCTTCCAGTCGCTTGCATTGACGGAAAACTGGTTTGTAATGTTTCTGTTTTTCTACTCAGGTAACATCCTCGGCCTCGTTTTTCTTTGCTGCTACTTTGTTGTTCATTTTATTTCCTTTCCTGTCCTGAAGTCCCAAAATATTAAATTTTTTTTATTTAATTTTTATATCTTATATATCTTTTATCGTTCAGTATTTAAGTCATTACATTTTGTGCATGAGAAACAAGATAATATTGTATAATGAAATCATTGCTGCTCAAAAACACAAACTGTCCTCAGCAGAAACCATCTGTTATGTATTTTAACGTACAACTAGCCTAGCTGATAAAAGGACTACAAACACTTTAGACCTTGTTGATGACACTATCTGTGATCAGTTATGTGGTTTTGAAAGATGCTGAGGTTTAGATGTTTATGAAATGCCAAGAGAAGTGGCTTCAGAAGTAGGGAGAAAAACAGAGAGTCACATCAGTTGAGCTGAAACACAAACACTCCTTACACGGAGCTTCTCCCAAGTGGACCATAGTAGATCTTGCACATCAACTTCTGAGTTACAACCTTTTTTGAAGTGTGCATTTATGTATTGACAGCTTCTCGCAAAAAAATTATTTGGCTGAATGTCTCCAAAAGCGGCGACCAGTAAATTAAGATAAGATATACCTTTATTAATCTGCTGTAGGAGAAATTCCTGTTGGCACAGAGGAATGTAAAGAACAAAATACAAGAAAGGGAGACATTTTCTAGAAACATCAGGTGGCTGTTCCAAACTGTATCTAAGTTCAATATTTATTGTCCCACCAGGGGAAATTTGATTTGCAATAGGGTTAAAACAAACATACATGAGGCATAAACACAGATAAGAACCGCCAATATGTACAACCTCTTTTGTTTGTCTAAAAGTACTCAATAAGTTGAAATGGGAGACTCAACAATCTATTGTTCTGAGCAGCAGCTCAAGCTCAGTGTAAATTTAGGGCATTAATTGCCGTGGGTGCAAAGGAAAATTTGTATCAGTTAGTTTTTATTTCTTGGCCTTATCCACCACTAGATGCTGCAGAACTGTACAGTACATGCATGCAGTGATTATCTCACACTTGAGCTGCAGTGTTGCCTCTTAAGGTGGTCCCAAATGGCAGTTTTTATATTAAAGCAGATAGATTTGCTCTATAAACACAGTACTCAAAGAAAAAGAAGTGCAGCAGTCAGAGACTTCGGTATTGTCCCTTTCTGATTGCAGCAAAATGGGACAGCAAACATCTGGAAGAGGTTTTTAAAATCAACAATGAACATAAAATAACATGTCTACAGATTGGCGTATGTAGTGTTTTATATTTGTTTTATTGTTACATTTACACTGATGTTTTTTAAATGGCAGTGTTATACTGCACTTAATCTCTATAAATAAAAATGATATAAATTACTTGTGTGCCCAAGAAAGTATGGAAAATATAATCTTTTGGACTTTATGGACTTGAAAGGCTTTGCTTTTTATAATTTTTTTTTCTCTTAACTTTTGTCTTTCCCTCTGCTCCTCTTCATCTTCTTCCTTTCTTTTTTTCTCTTTCCTGGTTTCAGTCTTTAGTCCGACGACGCAGACTAACCTGATTTTTCTGTCTGTGTTTTTGTGCGTCTCTCTCTCTCTCTCTCTCGGACAGAGCGGCTGGAGTCCCTGGATGCCGGTCATCGCAGTGATGGTCGCTGTGACGGCAGCCGTCCTCTACCCAAACCTCTCCAAGAGCAGCTCCACCTAGGGCACACACACAGAGCGCTGTGAGGAGAGCATCACTGCTTTACTTGTATAAAGTCTAATTGTACATAATTGTAGAGGGAATATAAAGGTTGTGGTTTCTACAGAGGATTCTTGGTTTATTTTGTTTTGAGTGTTGTTTTTCCGGCAGCGGGGAGTTTTGTGTTTTTATTGTCGGCTCTCTCAGCTGTGGTGGGGGCTTTTTTTTTTTTTTTTGGTTTAGTCTCTCTGCTGATTTCTGGGTAACAAAGCATTCTCCAGTAGGCCGAGCTTCCACACAAAAAAAACCTGCCAGAGGTGACGTTCACTCCCGTCCCATCGTACACGAGTGGGATGGAGGTGCCACACTTTCCAGCAGCCAGTCCAGTCAGGGAAACACGATCCATGTTCATCACTGAAAGCTAAAAGGCCTGCATTTGCTGGAAGGAGCGTCTGTGCACCGTTTGACCGATTTCATTGGCTATTGAAGTCTGTTAAAAGGTGGTGTTTACCTGTAGCTCTGTCAGAAATAATTTTAACAGTTTGAACGGACTCGGCTGCACCCTCATATCTCCATATTCAGCTTTAAGTTCTCTAATAACCAGCGCGGTGCTTTCACCTGCCTCATCTGTCCACGGTGATCAACAATATGATCACTTGGAGTTTAGATGCTGATATTGGGTGTTAGTATACTCTAAACTTAAATTTGGCATTTTTCTTTGAAGAACATCAGATTTTTGCCCTTGACAGGTTAAAAACTTGATTAAAATAACAGATTACCAATTTGGCAAAGCAGGCAACTGCCTCAGATCCTTTCATCCTCCAATTTTATGAAATGTTTGGTACTAAAACTCAGTAAAAACTGTAAAGGTAACAGCCCTAATGTTTTTTTAACCTAGTTTTTATCCAGTTATTAGAGGCCTACTGTTCACTTTTGCTTGTGTCCTTGTGGGTTATTCTGGCTCTGTTTATGTTAAACATAGCGCCACTATACAGTAAACTGCATCCCATCAGATTTTCACAAAAAGACAATAGCTTTCAGCTCCATATGTCAGTAAAACGAAGTAACTCCACGTTAAATACTGCGTTAATACTTCATAAAAATCACCTTCGTAGTAAAGCATTGTATTGTGGGAGCACAAATTAAACATGAACCCGTGACGGAGTGCGTCAGGTCACCTGGATCAGTTCACCGTGTGGCTGGGTCTGATGGAAAGTGTTCACAGGTTTCAGGAAGTCCTGCTCTGTTATGTTCTCATTTTAGTCGGCCATGTTGGATTTCTAACATGGCGTTTTCTCTGTTTTTGTTTTGTTCTTTTTCGGGGGAGTTAGGGGTTTAAAACTTGAAGCCAAATTTATTAAAATAAAAATCAGATCTATTTTCATTTCCTTTGTTTTTGGTAGTTTTGGGTTTATTCTATTCTTTTTCATTTTCGGGGCACAGAAAACGGGGTCAAAGTGCCTCTGATGTAACTAACACCACAGTTTGTGTATGTGTGCGGCCAGACACGCACACAACTGCAAACACACACGCACACACGCACACACACACACACACACACACTTTTTTGACTGTCAGAGGTCTCTCAGTGTCAAGGGTCTGGAGAGAAGCTGTACATTGGTGAGCTGCGATGTCTCATTAGCTGTTTCTGGAGCTTTCAGCAGCTACACATGACCGCCTTCAACCAAGTCATTGGCTCAGGTAGCACCTGATAATCGGATGATGTCTGATGACAGGAGTGTCTCTTAATTTAGGGAACAGCGCAGCCTTTTTTCGCTGTTGCCATCCTCCAGACAAACTTTAAATGCTTTGCCTCACTAGATATGTAAAGATAGAAGAATGATAAATAATAGCTAAAATGTGTTTGTTCTTAAAAACAGGAAGACCATTCAGCTTCTCTCCAAACTTAAACGCTTGTGGTCTCTGCTGAGATGTTTTAGCAGACATTAAATTATTTAGATGTGTGTGTGTGTGTGTGTGTGTGTGTGTGTCGGTTCACACTCTGGACTCTTGAGCAGCGTCTGTCATCGTTCGTGTACTCTGTCTTGTCTCCGTGTTTAAAAAAAATAAATAAATAAATAAATGAAACGACGAACAAATATTCCTGATGTTTAAAGAGAAAAACACTACAGTACAGAGAGAGAATTGTAAAATAAAATGTTATTGAACGATGTACTACTAGACTTATTTTGTTAAAATTGTTTAGAGATATGAGAGGGAGCTACGTAGAGGATGAGGTATGATGATGTAATGAATATGCAGAGAAATGTTTGGATTAAAGTTGTAGCAAGCTGACCCACCAAACCAGCTTCCGTCTCATTCATTCACAAACTTCACGATAAGGATTGAACTCTGTTTTTTTACAGATAATCTTCAAACAAACAAAAAAAACCCCATTAATAACCAAATGGTTACACATCACATGTTATCAAGCTGAAATGATCCTGTTTGTTCTCATCCAGATAAATTTCAAAGGTAGTTTGAGGTTATTTTTTATTTTCATGTTTATTTGATGGACAAATGCATGAGACATTTCTTCATAAAGTATACATAGTAGATGCCATGCATACAGATTTCTAGATTTGCAGCCCCTGTCTGTGGTTAGGCTTTTTAAAATAAAATACATATATAAATACATCCAGGACATGCAATTACATACATGCCTAAAAAGAAGTGGCGCTCAATATAAAAGAGAGACCAGAAACATTTAACAATACAACACAAATTAAGAGGTGTGTGTATACGTATATATGTGGTTGTGTGTCCATGCATTCCCAAAGTGTGCACATATGTTTGTATGTAGGGCTGATTTATTAATCATGGATGAAGCAGAACACTTTTATTTTGAAAGTACAAGGTTGTTTATTTGTCAGCATACAGTACAAGGCTGCATAACGAAATTAAATTTGTAGTTCATGCGTGCTACGCACACAAAATATAATTAAGTTTAGGCCTATATGAAAATATGGTCACATATAAAATAAAACAATACAGTTATTTATATACATACAGACAATAACTTACACCCCGAACATTCCACAGTGAATTATTTGAATTTAGATCTGGGTTGAATGTAAACAGCAGCAAACAGATGGTAGTATGAAAGTTTGATCTTCATAATAGACACTGACATTTGGGAAATTTGGGAGTCCATCTTGACTGCGTCTGTGCACCGAGCATCATCGATCTAAAACACAGAGTCCACCTCCTCTCATCTTGCTAGAGTCTTCTGCTTACTGCTCAAAACATGGACCACCTGCCGATGTTGATGGGGCAGGTCTCTGTAACGATGTGGGTACAACAGTCTCTGAATTCCGTTGCTTGGTCAATATTTAATCCATTTTGTCCAGACCAAGTTGCAGATCTCTGACTCGGTCTCTCGTTACAGAATCAGAAAACTGGACAGAAAATTTTATATTTCAGAAAAATTTTCTTCATTCATTCTTAATGTTGGAAATTTAAAAAATAGTCGATTAAAACAAAAGCAGTAATCTGAAAACATGAACTCAAATAAAATGATAATCAATCAAGCCTGGGCTGTTATGAACATCATCATATCGGCGCTCACATTGTTTTTCTTGTATATTCAGAATTTGTTAACATAGTACAGGAAGTCACAGATACAAGATCATCAAATGTTCCAGAGAATATTTTTATTTCTCTTTTGACAATAGAAGCCCAGAAAAAGAAATAAATATTAGGCGTGAGAAAAATAAAAATACTCATGCTAAATAAAGATTACAAAGTACTAATCCTGAAATATCATTAGGACTGAGCATACATGTTAGGTGGGCCCACAAGGATACTGGAAAAATAGCTGTGGATGCAGGGAGGGGCCCATAGACAATGCTTGTGTACAGGGCCCAGATTTTTGTGCAAGACCCCTGCCCATAATACAACTAAACAAAACGGTTAGACGACAAAACAAAAAACTAAATTAAGCCAAATAGCTATTTCGGGACCTTTCATCTGCTCTTCCTCAATAAATGGAGTTTGCTCGGTTGTCATGGAGCAAACACCATCCCCTGTGGAAGCTCCGAGGAACAAAGATAATACCTGCACCTTGAGTTAATTGTTTAAGTCTTTTATTGAAATTTACCTTTGAGCCTGTTTGGTTCTTTCGATTTATCTTTGGGCTTGACTCAGGTCACTAAACAGGCTACAGCAGTGGTTCCTTGAGGGGGTTCCAAGGGGTCCCCAGGAGGAAATCATTTATTTTCACTAGAATTCCATCCACACAGTAACAAAATAACAGAGTGTATTAACATTTTGGTCATTGATTTCATAATGTTTTTGTAATAAAACATCTAAAAGCAAAACTCCAATCAAATCGGGGTACGTTGTCTAATTTGTGTCAGTTTAGGGGTCCTGTTTGAGAACCTCTGGGCTACAGGATCCGGCATGGACAAAAAAACAGCTACCTAGTTCACAATGAAATGATAAATAAAACACACACAAATACATGTTTTTATAAATTCACATTTCCCAACATGTTGAACAAACCAACTCTGTCAGAGAGAGAGAGAATAAACTTTTCTTTTCACAACTATGTGTTTTTGGATTGATAAATAGTTTAGCACACTAAGGGCCTCATTAATGCTCTTATATCTGAGTATTAATTACATTACATTTGTTAATTAGATATTCAACATTTCGGTCAGAGAGATTTTATCAGTCAGTGATTACTTTTCTCAGCAAGTTTCTTGTATCTGAAGCCAACGTTTCTCCATCATCCTTACTTTACTTTTTATACAGGAAAGCACCAACATGTCACTATATGAAAATACATTTCATTTTCTCATTCTAGATGAAAATGTCAAACATATTTCAAAAGACACGTGTATAATACTTCCAACATGTATTTATTTCGAGTATGGTTTTGTATTCTGCCCTTGTAAATAGACAATCTTTGAGACAGTTCAGGCCAGACAGATGATGCATTCATGGATACCGGGAATTTGGAGATCACAGATTTTGTATGTATTCCAATAAAAATGCTGAGTTTGTATGATGTAGAAACATTGGAGTAAAAGAGTATATAATCATAGTAGTATAACCAAAATATAAATATTACAATTGGAAAATTACCACAAACACAATAAAATGTTATTTTAAATTCAGTGAAAACATTTTTGGTTTTTTTTTTTACTTTATTTCACTGCTAGAAGATTTTACTGTATCATGTTTGACTATGTGTGCAAATGTATATATACATATATTGCATTTGCTTTCTCATAATATTTCAAGGTTATTTTGAATTGAAATAATTTCTATAAATTATTTTAACAATCTCTCCCATGTAAAAGTAAATAATTTGTCTTCAATTATTCTGAGTGTAGAGTGCAGAGTATTTTTACAGTGAGGTATCTTATTAGTATGTTTACTTGAGTAAATGATCTGAATACTTCCTCCGCCTATGGATGCCAGTTTTAAAAGTATATTGTAGTATAGTGTTTAGGGAAGAAAATGCCTACTAAGAAGAAATGGACATTAAAGGAAGATTAATTCCAGAAGCAGTGGAAGAAGTACTCACATCTAGAAGTAAAAGAAATAGGGTAGAAATACTCTGTTACAAGTAAAAGTCCTGCCTTCCTATTTAGGTAAAGGTACAAAGGTATTAGCCTCACAATATTCTCAAAGGAAAAGTAATCATTATACAGAATGGCTTATTTCAGAGTGAAATATATTAAATTACTGGATAGTTAGTGATGCATTAATGTGGAAGCATCACTTTAATGCTGCAGCTGGTGAAGATGGAGCTAATTTCAAATACTTAATATGCTGTCGGGTAGCTTAATCCAAAATAAAACATCATAATTTGTTAGTTTATTTATATTTTGTATTAATAATCTGAATCTGCAAAGTAATGAGTAACTAATTTTGTCAAATAAATGTAGCAGAGTAGTAAAAAGTAAAAAGTATAATATTTGTTTCCACAATGCGGTGAAGTAGAAGTACAAAGTAGCATAAGTGGTGGACAGTAATTTTATTGTATCCAGTAAGTATATTTACTCAAGTACTGTACAAGTACAAATTAGAGGTATTGTACTTGAGTATTTTCTTTTCATGCCACTTTCTACTTCTACTACACCACATCTCAGAGAGAAATCTTGTACTTTTTACTTCACTACATTTATCTGACAGCTTTAATTAGTTACTTTGCAAATACAGATTTTTACAAACAAAACATATGAAGACTTATTATTTATTATTATTCATTAAACTACCCAACAGTTTATAGAAGTACAGCTAGTGCATTTGTTGATTGACAGAAATTTAATGGTTTAATTGACAACTTTTTTGCTTGAAGTCATTTTTCATGTAAAAACATTTCATGGTTCACAAATGTGGAGATATGCTGCTTTTTCTTTTGATTATTTTAATGTACTTTTAATCATTTTGAGGTTTAGACTGACAAAACAAACATTGTGAAGTTGTCACTTTGCGCTCTGGGTGATCGTGACAACATTTCTTACTATTTTCAAATTTTATCGATTAATGGAGAAAATGATCAGCAGATTAATCCAAAATGAAAAAAGTCATTAATTGCAGTGTGATACAAAATTGTTCAACCTCAACCAACTGCAACAGTTACATCCTGCTTTTACATAAATGCATGAGTAATAATGATCTCATGATACACTAATATAACAGTCACGGGACAGTATTCTTTATGCATTGAGTACTTTTACTTTTGATTCATTAAGTACATTTTCCGACGTACGTTTACTTATGTCTTGTTGTCTTGTGTTGAAAAGTGGTCGGGACCTAAAATCTCAGATTAGGGTCTAATGATGCAAGTGTGTCACAAGTCTTGACAATGGTCAAAAACAAGACAAGAAGTATTTAGAACAGTCTTTTGGAGAAATATGAAATGCTGAAATATATGAGTGGGAGGTCTGGGGGTCTTTCCTCAGAAGATTTTGAGCACTATTTCCTGCATTCTGTTGACATTTTCTGCTCCAATTTATGGTGGAAATGTCTTTATTTATATAAAGAGAAACAAAAAATTCTGCTGGCAGGTGACAATTTTATAAATATAAAAATATAAAACAAAATAAAATTCAGTAATCAGCAGCTTCTTTTTTGGACAATGCACATTTGTTTCTTCTAATTAAATCACATGTTTTCTTATTGTTCAAATAAACCTTTCTCAAAGCATTTTCATTTTTTAGTTAACATTTGTTGTTGCAAGCTATTTTACAGAACATTTTAACAAATGCTTTCAAAATGTGGTGGGGACAAAATCAGCCATTTCAAAATGTGGTGGGGACAAAATCAGCCATTTCAAAATGTGGTGGGGA